TTATTTACAAAGAAAAAGGCATAACTTTATCAAAACTCAACCGATCAAGCTTTTTTTTTCGCACCTGATCTGTATACTAGTCAGACTGACCACTCCTGACAGTTGCAAGACAAAGGGCCGATCTGTTTTCCTTAAAATGCGTTATCAGTGTTGCATATATGCTGAAAAAAAACAGCAAAACTTACGAAAAATGGTCCAATCAAGGTAATTTTGAAACTTGACCTGCGTATAATGAATATTCATCAGTTCAGTGAGTTTCAAGCCAAAAACTAATACAGTTTTCCACTTATTGTGTTTTCAGTATTGCATATATGCTGTAAAAAGTGAAAAAAAGCAGCATAACGTCAATAAAAATGGCCCGATTATGCTGATTTTCGAACTTGACCTCCGTATTATGAATATTCATCAGTTCTATAAGTTTTAAGCCAAAAAGTAAAATGGTTTTAACTTATCGTGTTATCGGTAAAAGTGCACGGCGGCGACGGCGCCGGCGACGACGCCAACGACAGACGCAGGTGACGGTATTATGATGTTACACAACTGTGTCTGTTCATAAAAAACAGGAACGTGTCATACTCCCTTTGTTATTAACAGCCATCGGCAAAGTATTGCCTCTTCTTCCGCTTACGCTGTTTTGATAGTCGCTCTTGGATGTGATCAGCGCTAGAGAGAATCTTTTCCGACACATTGGATTTGCTCGAAATAAGCGTTTTCCCTTGAATTGCTTATTGTTATACATGTTCTTTCGATACGAAAACAAAACGAAACTTTCCAATGCTTGCTACCCGTGACAGCAACCGTGATACTACGAATCAATCGTCGACAACAGATATATGCAGTCGTCAAATTTGAAACTGTAGATCTATGCAACTTGGGCCATCTGGTCTAGCATCGAGACGCATGCTTATCATATTTTTAACTCCACAACTAATGATTGCTTGGTTCTACGATGGTTACAACGGTTATAATTTCTGTGTTTTGGACTTTGGTCGAACACTGGAATTATATACAAGATCGCTTTGCGCAAATGAGAGATATGAGTCCATATCCTAGCGTAACCTTTCATCGAGTGGCGTAAAAGTTTAGTTCATGTGAAAAAGAAAAGCGTGAGCAAATACAGCTAATGATATCGCTAAACTCCGTTTTTCGCGCAAACTCTGTAGTAAGCTGAGATCACGTTATTAGAATTATTTATTTCAACTATAAGATATGAACTGGAGAATAAGCCCTAGCAATTTCAACCTTAAGGTCATAATAACTCTTCGTTTTGGCGGATAAAAATAGGATTTTCCTAGAGTAAACGGCAATTTTCCCGTACTTACCAATGGTCAACGACCCCATTCCTGCATTCAAAGTTAGTCCAGGGTTTTTTCCTAAAAGTTTGGTTTTTTATTAAATCTCTTAAGAGATTTTAACTGTCGTCGCCGTCTAACATTGCATAGTCACGCCAGATTTTCTGGTGGCCTACTTAAAACCGCGGGAAAAGCAGACGGACAACAACACTACATACAATAATATAAGATTCATAAGATATATTCGTCTTATTGCTCAAAATACATTATATCTACAATGTGTAAAATTCTAGAGTTTTCGTTATCCAACGCACTGTACAAAAACTCGCAACTTACGTCTGAGGAGTGCATCACGAGACTGCTTTCTTATGCCGCCATTTGTTGTTTTGGTCTCGAATGAACGCGAGAATCCGCATGACATCTCAACGTCATTGGCAACGGATGCCTTGACGACCGGGAAGAAAGGCATCGAAAGCCCGTTTGACAAGCACGGTATCAGGACAATACCCCCCCCCCCCGGCCCCGGACGACCCCCCCCCTCCCCCCGAAGAATATATATTTATATACATATATAAAGTAAAGAGTACAAATATTTTTATCCATTTTCTGAATATTTCTTAGTGTGTTGATGCAACCCGAGGATAGATTATACTAATTTTATTAAACAAATTATTTTCATGGAGTACAAGTACATAACATTTTCGAGATTGAAGTACAGAACATCTAATCAAAAATCTGATCAAAGTATATTTCCAGGTAAAGGAGGGGTAAACAGATGATCTCACTCATCCAGGTAACCCTTTGATTAATTAACTGTTACTTTTAATTGCTTTATTACTCCCCCTTGATTGAATAAGTCTTGAATCAAGGTGCATCTCTAGGGAGAGGTGGGGTAAACAGATTTTCTCGCTCATCCAGGTATCCCTTTGACAATTTGTCACTTTAATTGCTTGACCACAACCCACCGCACTAAAAATATTCATAAAGTTTGTTTGTTTGTTTATTAAAGTGACCTGTGCTATAATGCAAGTAATACAGATACATTTTTTTTCTTTTTGCACCCAGCCCCAGTGGGCTTATAAGTCACTATTTAATTTATATTATTTTAATATATTAATGATCAAAAAAAAAATAGAAACAATAAATAATGTATAAATAAACTTAATAAAATATATAACATTAATTACATACAAGTGTAAATAATAGAATGTATATACAAACTAGGACGTTACTCATTATACATGAACTCTTTCCGTATCATATAGGCACGTTTAATATAATTACTAAATATTTTTATATGTTTCTCCATTAATTTTGCGAGTTTCTCTGGCAAATTTAAATTCAAAAAGTCTAAATCAGTTGCTGTTATTTTTGTCAACATTTCTTCTCTTATGTTATCGTATGCCGCACATTCAAAAATATAATGCTTTTCATCCTCTATCTTTCCACAGTCACACATCACACACACTCTTTCTTCCACTTTTTCTCTCACAAACCTGCCCGTTTCTATTCTAATCGGAAGTATACCAAATCTTAATTGTGCTACCAATGATCTAGTCATTTTATCAAATTCGTGGGTTACATAGTTCTCAACCTTGTATTTATTTTTAAATAGTATGTAAGTTCTAAGTTTACTGTATGAGGGCAAATCTCTCTCCCATTTACTCGCCACTAGATCTCTCAAGCATGCTGCACATCTATCCACATCCACTAACTCCATACGTTCAAATTTATTTGTCATGTCTAATTTTTGTAATATACTACATATCTCACTAGACCAGTTATTTATGCACTTATTATAATCTATGATAAAGACCCTTTTCGTTAGCCTTGATGAATCCATTAAAACCAATCTATTCCAGTATCTGAGCATATTCAGCCACCTGCTTGTTTGTATAGGAATGCAACCCGTATCTCCTCGAAGCCCTAGTATGGGAGCAAACTTATGAACACCTAGAAAATACCGTATGGCTCTGTTTAGTATACTTTCACTGCTTTTAAATAACTTAAAACCCCAAACGCTAGACGAATAATTTAACACTGGAAGCACACAAGTGTTGAAGAGTTCCATGTATGATTTAAACTTGATGTTTCTGAGACTTTTAACTTTACTGATAACTGATCCAAGCGCTCTACCCCCCGACTCAGACAACAATTTATCTCCGGACTCATAGGTTACATGACTATCAAATAAAAAGCCTAAATATTTATACTCATTTACATACTCAATTATTCTATTATTTATATTTATTGGTATGTCACACAATGGGGAACCTTTACTTCTAAAGTGCATAACTTTTGATTTCTTACTATTAATTTGCAGTCTCCATTTCGAGCAGTAATCATGTAAGGTATTCATAATGATGTTCATATCCTCTGGCGTTTCACTGAAAATAGCAATGTCGTCTGCGTACAACAATATATCTAGTCTAATGTCACCTACCATTACCCCTTTTCCAAGTGCTTTTATATCCTGAGCTAGATCATTTATGAATAGTGCAAATAAGGTAGGTGATAGGTTGTCACCTTGCCTAACACCAGCCATCGTTTCAAACCAGTTTGTATTGTTTCCATTGAGATTTACACATGACTCTGTTAGTGTGTACATAGATTTCAGCACAGCATACATAGGCCCGTTAATGCCAATATTTATCAGTTTGAGGAGTAGTAAATCTCTATTTAAAAAATCAAAAGCTTTCATCAGATCGATGAAAGTTACAAACGTGTCTTTACCCTCCTCCATTCTGTTCTTAACAATAGAGTTTAACACAAAGATGTGGTCTTCACAAGACCTGTTTTTTCTAAAGCCATTTTGTTCTTCTACCAGTAAGTCATTGTTCTCACAATACGCTAAGATTCTTTTGTTTATAACCGAGCTGAATATTTTTGATATGGTACACAATAAACTTATTCCTCTATAATTCAGCGGTATTCTTGGATCTAGTTTACTGTCCTTCGGTATTGGTATTATAATTGCCTTTCTCCACATACTTGGTAATAATGCCGTGTCAAATATGAAATTGAATAGTGATGTTAATAAATTAATAATAGTTTCGTTTTTCAAAATTTCATTGGGGATATTATCTACTCCCGTAGCTTTCTTTTGCTTTGCCTTAGCTACTGCTGAGCTAACCTCTTGTTTTTCAATAGTGCCATTTATGCTGTAATTAGGATTAAACAAGGGGTCAGACATTACACCCTCCATAGTTCTTCTATATTCTAGACTTTGTTCGAGAAATTCAGCATCGAAATCATTTATGTCAGTTTCATTATACAATTTTCTAAACTCGCTTTCCCATTTTTTATAAGTAATATTGATATCATATACTACATCTCCATTTTCGTTATACGTTTCCATTGGGATTTGTGATTTGCGCCTAGGTCCGGCTTTTTTAATATAGTCCCAAAATTTGCGAGGATCTTTGACACNTTCCACTTATCGTGTTATCGGTGCTGCATATATGCTGAAAAAAGTGAAAAAACAGCATAAATTCCCTAAAAGTGACCCGATCATGCTGATTTTCGAACTTGACCTGCGTATTATGAATATTCATCAGTTCTGCAAGTTTCAAGTCAAAAGGTTAAATGGTTTTCCACTTATCGTGTTATCGGTAAAAGTGCACGGCGACGGCGACGACGGCACCGACGGCGACGACAGACGCAGATGATGGCTATATGTACAGACACATCTGTGTCTGTACATAAAAATTACAGCTAAACACATATTGCATAGTCCTTTACCAGACTGAAAAACTGTGAGTCTATATTGTTTATTACCCAATACATAAAACAATTAAGAAAAAAAAATAGACGTCACTTACCAAATACAGAAAATGGAAATGCCAGTTAACCTTTTTTCATCCAATTTATAAAACAATATTGAAAAAACCCTGCGTACCTTAATCTCAGACAGTGCATCAGTGCTGAGCTCCACCTGCCCCAGTTCAGGTGGTTGCTGCGAGGCCTCCGCAAGGGGGACGACGTCCTGCTCCCCATCCTCCATCCCCTGTCCAGCTGCAGACATGTCCAGTGCCACCACCCTCTGCTCTCCCTGCTGGGTCTGGATGATCACCTGGGACTGGTTCAGATGGTTCAGCTGCACCGTCACGTTCTCATTGCTCCTCATGGACTCAGGGAGCTGTCATAAAAAATAATGTTATTTCCATTTTTTTTAGAAGTTTTAATTTCTATTTTTTTCTTACCAATTAAGTTTTCTTTAACCTTAAACTGCCTGTCACATATTCTGTCACTTATGAGACATTAAACATTGACAGTTCTTAGAAACTGGCATTTCAATAAATGTAATTCAAATGCCTCCTATATATAAGCCATCACACACACACATGTATGCACGCAAACACGCACGAAAGCACACACACTGACCTGAGTACTGGACATGGGTAGTGTGTGGACAATGATATGATCTGTGGCCATCCCTCCAGTAGCAAAGGATATATGTGGGTTGGTCTGTGGCTGGGTGATGAGGAAGGCCCCAGAACTGGTGGGCAGACCCTGGACTAGTTCATATGCCTGGAACGAAGCCCCGTCTGTCTCTTCTGTGGACAGGGCCGCCACTGTTTGACCTGTGAATAAATGCAGCAAATATATATACATATATATATAGCGGGAAAATTGCCCCAAGACTGAATAATTATTAGAAGAAACCATAAAAATTACATGACTCTTTGTAAAACTTAGTAATTAATTACTATGTACTAAAATGAAACCCCTCAGGTTTCATTACAAAAAAGTTCCATTTATGTTCATATTTGGCTATTTTGCTAAATTTTTCTGTAACAGTTATGTACAGTCATGGGTACACCCCTGTACCACCCGCTTGCTGTACCACACTGTACCATACCCACCTGACTGTACAGTAATGGGTACATGGAGCACCCCTGTACCACCAGCTTGCCGTACCACAATGTACCACATTGTACCATACCCACCTGACTGTACAGTAATGGGTACATGGAGCACCCCTGTACCACCAGCTTGCTGTACCCCACTGTACCATACTCACCTGACTGTACAGTAATGGGTACATGGAGCACCCCTGTACCACCCCATTGCTGTACCACACTGTACCATACTCACCTGACTGTACAGTAATGGGTACATGGAGCACCCCTGTACCACCCCATTGCTGTACCACACTGTACCATACTCACCTGACTGTACAGTAATGGGTACATGGAGCACCCCTGTACCACCCCATTGCTGTACCACACTGTACCATACTCACCTGACTGTACAGTAATGGGTACATGGAGCACCCCTGTACCACCCCATTGCTGTACCACACTGTACCATACTCACCTGACTGTACAGTAATGGGTACATGGAGCACCCCTGTACCACCCCATTGCTGTACCACACTGTACCATACTCACCTGACTGTACAGTAATGGGTACATGGAGCACCCCTGTACCACCCCATTGCTGTACCACACTGTACCATACTCACCTGACTGTACAGTAATGGGTACATGGAGCACCCCTGTACCACCAGCTTGCTGTACCACACTGACACGAGGCAGTGCGGTAAACCTGACGGCGTTGGTCTGAGGTTTACTGCGGATGTTCTGGGAATGCATTTCACTCAGGTTGGCAGCTATCTCTGAATAAAGAGTACAGAAAATAAATACATGTTAACATATGAGAGAGAGACTGCACAAAGACCACTAATATGGTATAAATTTGAGAAATATAACATATAGCAATATCATCTTCATGGTCCTAAATTTTATTAGTATCCAGGTAGCAGGTTTTACCTTGAAGACTTAGGGCATGGTAATCAGGCACATGTCTCTTGAGCTGCCACCATTTTCCTCGTAGCCACTGTGGGGACCTGGCACTATGAATAGAAGTTTATTATTGAAATAAACCATGAGATGAGAGTGGGAAGGTTGGCTGACTGTGGAACATTTTAGTGTGCTAAAATATATCATATATTACATCATTTATACTTTGCTTAAACTACCTGTCACCTTCTGGTTCACTAACCTGCTCCAATTCCTTGTCAATCCCTCCCAGTCAACTTCATTCTCATCATTTACTCCACTCTCAATGATTCTAATAAAAAAGAAGACTTATGTGAATTTTTAGAAAAATTAGAATTTATAAAATCAGAGAGCATTAATTTTAATTTTGTAAAAGAAATTTATTCAATCAGCAAATAATCTAACGAAAAAAAAAAAAGTCCCACATCATCACTTGATGGACTACTTCATAATAATTCATGTGAACAATAAAGCAACATATATATTTTTTACTTATCTCAATTTGACTGCAAAGTCAGATAAGCCACCAGCATTAAACGGTTGCATCTTACAAAATATCAGTGACAAGAACCATGCAGATGATCACCTGAGAGTGAGCTGTATGTCATCATCTCGTGTCCAGTCTGTTCCTCCTTTATTCTTCCAGTTGAGGTAGTTCAGCCATTTTGTCCGGCACTGTTTCTCTGACCTGGTCTTCACGTGGTCGGCCACAGCTGCCCAGGACAGCCCACTGGTCACACTGTCACCTGGAAACAATTATCATAGACCGACCTTTGACTTCACTTCTCACATGAAAATGTGAGAAAAGAAGATCTGGGTCCTGACTTAGGAATATGAGCAGATTAGATTTTCAAAAGGTTTCAAAAGGTTACAAAAAATAAATAAATAAATATATAAATAAATAAATAAAAATAATTGTGTATGAACTGCAAATGGGATGATAGACTTAAATAGAAGTGATGCTGTAATGATGATAAGAAATCAAATATTTTTCATTTACCCGAACTAATTCAAAATATATACAAATGACAGACACTGACAACATATTCCCTGAAGTTTTCCACCTCTTACCCTGCTTTCCCCCTGTTAGAGACATCACTGCCTCTGCCAGTCTCTTCTCTTCATCATTCAGCCACTTGCCTGTGTGTATGGAACAGAACAATGTGATCACATTATATCTTTGTAACAGGATAAAACTATCATGATAAAGTTATTCAATAAGGCAATGAAATATTTTATTGTAATGAAAATTCCATTCAAGAAATTTCCTTGAAATAAAAAATTCCAAAATAAAATAAATAAATACTTTAAATGTAATATCTTTAAACATCAAAATGACCTTATAATAAATACAAATTTTCTGGAAATTCTATTTCTTTATATATAAAATTAAAGCCTTAGTATAAATTTTATTTCCACATCTTAAACTCCAAAGCTTTTATTATCATTACTATTTAATCACTTTTAAGAGCTCCGTCAATATTCAAATCGTTGAGATCTATCTATCTATCTATCTATTTAAATGCTGAATAAATATAAATATTATTATTATTATTATTATTATTAACCCAACCAGACAAAAACAGCGTCCAGGTACCTGAGTTACAGGTGTCCTTCATCAGTCGGCACCTGTCCTTGACAGAGGCTGCACTGCGGCCCAGAGCCTGCCCAATCCGCGCCCAGTCCGTGCCATACTTTACCTTCAACCTGAGGAAGAACACATTTCGAATGTTGAATTTTCTCAAGAGTATTAAGCTGTGTTCTCTCTGTGACTTGTCGTATACTTGTTTTAAGGTCAGGCCACTTACAGTGGAAAAGACCTTCAAAGTCAACTTGTTCTTTAAGGTTATTACATGTTATATAAAATTCCTGGTGATCTTTTATGGTTTCATCACTTGATAAAAATTATTTCAAAATTGGAGTGTTGTTTGAAACACACACACACACATTATAATAAATCAAAACAAATTCCAATGCAACAGTCTTCTAAGAATTCTTCTAAGCCCTACCAAGTTTAACTTCATAAAAGAAATATTAAGACAAAGCTATTTAATATTTAATTCTTTTCCCACTAAAAGCACTTACTCCCTTAATTTTTCAATTTCCTCCGGCGTGTACTTCCCCATGTGATTCTTCTGATCATACATCCTAATCACACGCCTGTAGACAGAAAACAGGGGGCGCTCCAGGCCAACAGCTATACGGCGATAGAAATCCTTGCGCTCATCCTTTGACATTTCAAAGATGATCTCGGTGGGGTCTGCTATGCCATGGGACTTGCAGTAGTTGACGATGTTCATTTGAAGAAGATCAACTTCCTCTTTGGACCACTGACCTTGTTTCCATTTTACACCTGGAATAATCAATAAGGTTTCTATGTACTATTTTAACTGTGGTAAAACTGTTAAAAATCTGCCTTCTCATGCTTTCACACTATCTGCTTCAGCATCTTACATATATATTGCACCAAATGCCTAAAAGGGATATAGGGCATCTGACTCTTGCTTTATCTAAAACATATCACTGAATTAAAAAAAACTTGCAAATTATATTAATGCTATAAATTATATAAATGCTATAAAGTCTACTTATGGATCATTCCAGACAAAAGTAAAAATTTTAGTCACTTCAGGGGCACACACATTTTGAGTAGTCTTTGCAGAACTGTTAAACATCATTTTTTAATTACTGTTGACTTCTTTTCATATTGGAGAAAACAATAACATACCTGTAAAACAGCAAAAATAACGGAGCAAGTCAAAATCACAAAAAAAATTTGCATCACTCAAATTGAGTGACTCAATTTTTCATTTTTTGTGTAATGACCCATTGGTTATTGCCACATTGGACCTTTTACAGGTCTGTATGTGTGTGTGTGTGCATGCATGAGTGTGCGTGTTCATGCATGCATGCATGAATGATACTGTAGTAATGTTTATTTTACAGAAATACCTTTGCTGTGCAGAGCAGATTTCTCCTCCTTGTTTGTAAACCATGACTGCGTGATATCTGTTGGCTTAGGTGATGCCACACCTGAACTAGACTAAAACAGGAAGAGTATTCTCTCTGTTTGTGTATGTATAATTTATACCTGGACAACAATGTACACACACTGGACAATAGAAGTGTCACCCCTACTGAACCAATACTTTGGGGGAGATAATTGACTGTGGAATGATATGCTACTGGTATCATTTTATTAACATCAAATTTCACAAAAAGACCAATACAATTACATGGTACTGCGGTTTTATACTCATTAGTCACATTATAAGTAGACCAGGCATTATAACTTTGATTACTCTGATTCAGGGGGGTGACACTTCTATTGCCTATTGTGTGTACTGTTTTGATTTCTTTGAAGTTCTTAACATTTGGAAATTCAAACTGGGTATGGTCTTGAAATTGAAAACATACCATCTCTTACATGTAAAATATATTCATAAACTATAAAATAGAGTATCTTTTCACTGTTACGTATGTGACATAAACTAGATTTATCTAGAATTGATATTTGAATTTATCAGTTTACCTTTAAAAATCTAATTTTCCAGAATTACAAGAATGCAAAAGAGTTATAAGTATAAATCATTAACTTACAGCACTGGCATCTGTCACATCTTCACCATCTTCTGCTGCTTCTAAGGCGTAATTCCCATCAGGATCTGAAAGAAAGAAAAAAATCAATGGCAGTAAATATCATAGTTATTGTTTCATTCTTGCTTGTTTACTTTTGGAGTATCCAGTAATCAACGAAGGTATCTACATCTGTACCACTCTGTGCCATAAGTATAATATTTGTATTATTAACAGTGCTCGGGAGGGGAAATGTGAAGTAGCCATGTACCATCACTTCCTCTGATATACTTGTAAATTTTTCCAGTTCAGACAGTTTCTAGTTTTTGGGTCTCTCTCATAATGGGGAAAGAGACTGGTGAACTTCAAGCATTACTGTTAAATTAAAACTTTTATAACCCCGATATGGGTTAATAGAAGGGAATTCTTTAAATGAGTGGATACAGTATAACTTGGTGATTAAGGGATAACTGAAGAAATAAAATTTCTTTTTTGTCATTTATAACATTAATATCTAATGCTCATTGTCTGTCCTCAATAATACCTGTCACTGTAAGTATGTATGTCTGCCCGTCCTCCTGTTCTACCCTGTATCTCTTACGTGGGGGATGCCCATCTAGGTTCTCCGCCTGTCCTAGCTGGCTGTCTCCTCCTTCAATAGAGAAAAATCCTCACATGAAGTCCATCTTTTGAGATCCATAGTCATAAACACGCACAATCAAATTCAACATTTAGCCTTTTGCAAGTGTAAAAGCTGTTGGTTTTGTCACAGGCGCATGATCAAATAATATTTCAAACTGACCAACAGCATTTCAAATAATGACTTTTTTCTCCCTTTTCGGTCACCCTCTTTTATACAATTATCAATGACTTTTGCTGTTGATGAGCATAAATCAACATCATTGTGCATCTAGCAAAAACTGAACAACACAGTCACACACAAATGCCTGCGCACGCACACACTTTCTCACCTGGGTCAGCCTGTGCATAAATGATCACATGGCTCAGTTTATCCTCATCCTCTATAGTCTCCACATGGACATTTGCATTGGACTGCAACAAGCTGCTATCCAAACTATCACCTCCTGAAACAAAAAATCAAATAAGTAGATGCTTATTTAAAATACCCCACCCAGCAATGCTGATTAAATAAATAAGTTCAAAATCATGGGCATAAACAATAGCGATATCATGACATCAATCTGTAGAAGATTATTTCTAAATGATACTTAAAAATGCGACCGTACTTTTACATAAACCTTGTGGCCATCAAAAAAATAAAACTATGTACATGCATAAAAAGGACAGTCTTTAAATGCCCCTCATATCCCCATTAGAGTTTATTTTCTTTGTTTTTTCAATTTCATTCTCTTTTATATATGTCCAATTTTAGGTGCAGAAATCAGCAGGACATCTACTGACCAGGATCACAGCAGTGAAGAACTCACCCCCAAGGCTATCTGAATGACTCATGTGCCCTTCTCCTTCTCCCAAAATCCCTGTAATTACTGTGCCACTTTCTCCATCAACTAAATGCACACCTAAAATGAGGTCAAAACTATGACTTTAAAAGAAAAATAATTACCTTACAAACTGTGTCCTCTGGAAATGACATAACACATCAAATCCAAGGCAAGAGCAGGTCGAACAATGATGAGGAGAATAATAATTTTGGCAGGTAAATTCTGATTTTATGTACCTTTAAAAATTTTTAACTTATCAAAACAAACCGACAAAAAATGTTTAACTTCTGATGTGTTTTAAGTTTTTGACCATACTGTACCTTTTCCATCTTCTATCTTTCCTATCTCATCTTCTGTCTCTACTTGATCTAAACTACAGTTGTCCTCTGCCATTCTATGAATCAACATCAACAGTATTATATACATTTCTGACAGAAAATACAAAAGCAAAATCAAATTGCATGATTTTTTTCAAAAAGAGGAAGAAAAAAATTTTTTTTTAATTTATCAGTGAAAAATATATTTGTAAAAAAAAATCCATTGAATAGTTCAAAGAATACATGTATATGTACTTTCAGAGTTTCATTCGGACCAAGCTTCTCTGAAAACATTTATGTCGTATAGTTACTTCCAAATCAATGAACCTTCACTTCAGGCAAATTATTTCTTTTTCTTTTTTTTCATGAAGCAGGACAACATTGCTTTATCCACCCTCGGCTACAAGACACGCATTAATACATAAAATATTAATGAAAAATGCATAAATTAAGTATCTAACAGGGGATTTAAAAAATCTTACTTTGATTAATATTAATGTGTATATTAATAAAATTTTTAAAATATAAGAGGTAAATAAAATTCTAAGCAATCGGCTCTCACATGTTTTATTATTTTCTCATTCTACATCAACTCGCATCTGTGGCAGCAAACGTGTAAAACAAACCGCCATTTGCAAAATGAAGTCAGTTTTGAGTGTTCCGTCATAGTGAAGTAATTCTCTTTAAACTAGGTCAAATTTTACATCTCCAAAGTCCTCACAACCTTCGCCGAAATTTTGACAACCATTTGGGACTTACCCACGTGTATAAAGCACGTTTTACAATGTTTTCGTCCGGGGTCTTCCAGAGAGACCAGGATGAAAAATGTCCAGGATGTTCTCTTTGCGAACGAATAAGGTCCCATTTTTTTCCTCTGGATTTCATATTACATAGTAGTCAACTGATCTCTCCATTTAAATAACATGATATAGGAAGTGCATTCAAAAAGTTCGGGAAAGGTTGATTTATTTCTTAAGTGCACATATGTGATTACAACTTTCAATATAATTTAAGGACTAATTGTTGGGCTCATTAAGAATTGCGTTAAAATTTTGTCTCGTATTATCTCGCATATTCACACCGAGATCAAACATGGCTTCGCTGTGCCGCTGCCTCCGATCTGCTGCTAGTTTAAAGTTGCTTCAGTCCCAGGTAAAGCACTAATGATGTGGTTTTAAAAGATTAAAGCAGACAATCAATGCATGAACATGCTTTGGTGCACTTGCTGGTGCCAGGCACAGTTTATGATGTCTTCTAAATATCACCTTCTTCAAGTTGACCTTGGCGATTCATTTCCAAATGCTGTATCTCTAGCTTTGCTAGGTTAAGCATTGGTTCCAATCTCAAAGGAAGTGTTAACAATATTAGATGCATCTTGAAAATGGTTCCCTCTTATATGTATCATGAATCAAATCCCGAGATGATTTGACAATGTGAAATCATTTTTTAAAATATTTGTCTTCCAGCCAATTTGTGCTGCAGCAGTTCAGAAAAGATGGCTGAACCTTCACGAATACCAGAGTAAGGAGCTGATGGAGTCCCATGGGTTGGCAGTACAGAGGTTTCTTATGGCAGAGAAGGGTGGAGCCGAGGCTGAAGTAATTGCCAAAAAACTCAGTAGGTTCAATTTGTCATTATTATTATCGTTGCCTGGGGTAGCGCTAGCAGTTTTTTTTCCTAAGCCAAATCGTTACCTTGCAGCACTTTTTTCAGGTGTCACTATATTGCTCAATTCAGGGACACTGCTTTTTATCTCCAAACGGGTTAAATTTGAATAAATAAATTAAACCAACCCTATTTTGTTTAGCCAACTTAAGTCAGTTTTAGCGTTGTGCTAAAATGGCAAGTGTTAGTGCTGCCCCAGATTATCATTTAATTATTATTATTACTGTTATTTAGTAATATGACATGCATTCTGTAAATATGACATGGATAGCAAGATTTTAAATTTGCCTAAAAAGCATGCGCATATTGTAAGCAAAAATGTTAAAATGCATAAGAAGATAATAAAAACTAAAGGTTTCTAAAGGAAACATCTATTTCAACAGTGAAGATATATATTCATTAATAATTTGACAGTTAATAATTTTAGTCAATAAGATCAGGTAAAATAAGTAACCAGAAAATGTAATCAAATGGTCTCTATACATATTTTAAGTTTTATGTTTAGCTTTTCCTTTCAGATCCTATAGAATTTGTCATCAAAGCCCAGATATTGGCTGGAGGCAGAGGAAAAGGCACCTTTGACAATGGTTTCAAAGGAGGAGTCAAGTTAACTAAAGAGTAAGACAAGTATCAAGACTTTGGATTGGTGTTATTTTATAAAAAGAATGAGACCAGGGCCCCGTATCTCGAAAGCTTCGCGTATTGTGAATCGCTATATCAAATAGAGGTTACAGTGTATTATATGGGACGAGTATGGGCGAGCTGTGGAATCGAGACGAAGCTTTCGAGATACGGGGCCCTGGTCACTTATTGGCCAAATAAGTGTCATGTGACAAGCAAAAATATAATTTGTTGATGATAGTTTTCTGTCTCTAAATTATTCTTATTCCACTTTGTAATTTGCACATAAAGAATTGTTTTAAACATCTGCACAAGTTCTGGTGACTCAAAAGATGTTCATCACTATTTTAAACAACAAAAATTACAATAATCATAATGCTTGATTTTTTTACATGTACTCTGCTCTTTATTTCAGTCCCAAAGAAGTTGGTGACTTTGTAACTAATATGGTGGGACATAGGCTTATGACAAAGCAGACTCCACCAGAAGGCGTGTTAGTACAGAAGGTAAGGAATTTTACACAAAAGATTTTGACTGTTTAAATAATATGTTCATTTGTTTAAAAGATTTTACATTTATTTATTTATTTTTTTTCAAATTTATTTTGTAAATTTTTTTGACCTTTTTTTTACAGAGCAAATGAACATTAGTTCATGGCATTAATCTATTAAAATATGACTCAAAAGTAAAAACATAAAAGTAAAAAGGAAGCAATCTATAAATCCTACCACTTTGTCGCTTTAACCAAAGAACTGTTTGGTTAATTTCACACTTAAAAGCCATTTATTTATGTTATTCATTTCTTCCAGGTAATGATAGCCGAAGCATTTGATATTGAGGACGGCAAGGAGAGATACCTGGCTATTCTCATGGACCGTGAAAGCAATGGTCCCGTGATAGTAGGCAGTCCATATGGAGGAATGGACATCGAGGAGGTGGCTGAGAACAATCCAGAGGCAATATTCAAAGTATGAGCTTCCATTTGTTGTGAATGTCTGCTCTGTTGCTTAGTTTTTTATTTACTACTTAGTGAAACCCTGAAGCTGAGAGGTCTTTCAGTCACTGCTTTTAACTTGGGTCATTTGCAGGGTGAGATGGGGTTCTTCCAGCTTTTACTAGACTCGGACTGTCACATTTTGTGGTTAAGATGCACCTTGATTGAACAAATACTGGTTTGCCCTGCATTGTTTATTTTTGCCTGATCACAGCAGTCCTAGTATATCAGTATAAATATGTGTAACACACACACTTTGAATGGGATTTTTTAATGTTCTAGTAATGTCTGTATGTGTCGTAAGCATTTTGTTTTTACAGTCCTTAGTAATGACTTAGTGTCTTGACTCAGGCGAGTGACTTAACTTGGTTGTTGATATGGGTTCCAACTTACAGGGAAATTGTTTAATCACAGGAAAGCAACTCTGTTATAACCCAGTGCCACCTCCCCCCCCTCTCCCACCCACCCCCCCCCCACCCACACACACACCACACAC